AAAGGGAGTTAGCCATTTGCCATGCAGTGACCAAAACAATGCAGACACACACACATTTTATAGTAGCAGAGACACAGCCGGACCACAGATGCAATAGGGCGCCATGCTGGCTGTGCTAGTTTCTCCATATGTGTTTTTCCTCTCTGTCTCTCTCCCTCACCTTCACCCCTGTTTCATAATGATTTGCACCGTTAGGTCATCCTACATCCTATAATGGCTGTTTTCCAGTACCTTTTAACTGCTCTTATATACTGAAAAATCTATATGTCAGAGCCAAGAACATTATCATCCCTAGGCCATTTTCAATCATTAAGTCATTCCAGATAAACGAAAAGATTTATAACCCTGCTCATTAATCAGGTGCATTCACTTCTCTGCTATGACACGTTGACCTCGTGGGCGTGATGTGGGCTGGTTGTGTTTCGATGGAGAACAGGTCACGCGCATTAAGCAGTCATACTAATTGGTGCCTCACACCAGACTCATGATCAGCCGTACACATTGTGTGGGCCGCTGCGTAATGAAAGAGTTATCCAATCGATACACTCTTAGCTGTAAACTTCAGATGGTGTCTTACAAATTAGTTTGGCTATATGCATTTGTTTTGTTTTTTTTGTTTGTTTTTTGCTGTGCTGTATATGTGCTATATTGACAAGGAAGCACCAAGTATGAGAGAGCTTTAGTCGCTGATTAGTTTATCAGCTAATCAGTATGTGGGTGGAACATGCAGTGTAAGGAAATGTGTGAAACTGTATAGAAGATAGACGAGAGATGGGCTGTTATTTGCTGTTCAAGTGAAAAAAAAACACTATTCAAGGAAAGTTGGACCCCTCAGACAAAAAGTACTATCAACTTAAAAAGTTGACTGCACATATTGCGCTTTGAGTGTATGCCTACAATGTTTTTTTGTTTTGTTTTGTTTTCTGAATATTGACAGATAGGCAATGTTGGTGTACTTGAATACAGGTTAGTTTTTTTTGGGGGGGGGGGGGAAGGGTTGTTTTTTTTTTTTTTTTTTTTTTTTTTTTTTTTTTTTTTTTTTTTTGATGCTGTCTGTATTGCTGTACTTCTCCGTTTCATCCTTTTATGTCCTGTTCTCATCCTTCCGTCTTGCTCGTTCCTTCTTTCCCCATTGAGCCCCTGGCATCCCAGTCTCTGGTCTGACTTTATCCTCAGCCCACATCAAAGCCATAGGAGAGAGGAGCATTTTCTCTTCTGCATCTCTGTCATCCTCTCTCCCTCTTTCCCACTCCCCTACTTCTCCCTACCCCACTTGTACAGTGCTCCATCACGTTCTCCTGCTAAAGCTTTAATGTTGCACAAAGTACTTCAAAAGAAGTTTTTACTCCTTTTTTCCTCATCCTTCCATCTCATCATCTTCTCCCCCTCTCTGTCTACAGATGGTCATATCTAAATGAATTATCTTTATCACTCCCTTTCTCTGTCTGTCTGTCATTTTCTCATTTTAAAATCTGCACCCCTCTTTTAGACTGCACTTAAAGGAAACAGCCTGCCCTAATTTGTCTATGAAAAAAAGCAGCACCATACAGAATCAAATCTCTGTTGCATGCACAGTTCAAAGGAGGCTTTGGGATTTTAAATGGATTAATCAAAACACATTTAGCAATTCCTGAGCATTGCACACAGTATAACTCAGATACAGAGGTGTTTCAGTAAATTACATTTCCAATTATTGTCGATTGTCATCACAGAGACATAAAGTGTGGAAGTGGTAGGAAGATTTTAGAACAACAAAGTCTACAAAGAGACAGAAGCTTGTAACTTTCTTATTTTTGCTTGTGAACTATTGATATTACATATTAAATGTTAATTTAATATTTAGCCTCGAAGAGTAGTTTAATATGTTGATGTTCTGTTATTACAATATTATTACGGTAAGACCACATAATGAGTGGGTTGTATTTCTTCTCACTGGCAGTTCATTGTTTCTCAGATTAAAAGAAAATTGTTACAGCAACATCATCCTGCTGCAGATGCAGGGTGTTGTTTTGCAAGGTCTGCATGCATTATATTTATTGTGCTTGTGCTGTGAATATGCAGCCATCAGCTAAAACTAACACTGAAACTATGTGAATATGTATGCAGTCTTTTGAAAAATGCAAATTTGAGTTGGAATCTGTGGATAGTTTACAGGAACAGACATGTACCCCACTGTTACACTTTATAATGTATGTATTTGATTGCTGACTTGTTGTCAGTCAAAATAATAATACATTTTTAGATCGTTTTTTTTTTTTTTCTCATGCTTCCAGATGGAGAAAGTAGAGGAGGACCTGATCCGCTCCAAGTCCCTCAGGGAGAGCCAGGCCAAACAGTTCTCCCAGCAACTGGATGCACTCAGACAGAAATATGAGCAGCAGGTCTGTAGGACTTTCTGTACATCATGGTTGTCTGCCTGTATCTGTGTGTGAATAGTTTTCTTGCTTCTGTACTGCTGAAGTTGCCAGGTGAAAGAATTCTTCTCTTGCTTCCATCATCGTCATCAGCGCTAGAGTGATAGCTTTTCTCATTTATCAGCGAACATTTGGCCGACTGGAGCCAGCCAAGGGGACTGACATCCATTTGGAATAGTCTTGTTTTTCCTTCCCATCTGCTTTGCCTGATTAATTTCTCATGATAAGGGACACGCTTTAGATTGAGCTTAGATTGTTGCTCAATAAATATCTTAAACATTGCCAGTTGAAAACTAATGCAGTCTGCCTAGCAGATACACTGCACCCTTAACATCCCATCCTTGTCTAGAAACCATCTTCAGAAATCATTAAAATCTAGCTTGATATTAGGAGGATATCTCATATGGAGCATCAGATTCAATTAAAGCAAACCAGTATTATCAGAGGCATTCATTCTCATTGTGGCACAGTTTAGATTTGTCTAACTGGCCTGCTAGTGAGGATTTCGTCTTTGGCTGTCTACTTTAAAAATATGTTTAAATATTTTATCCATAGAGTGTGTAATTTAATTCGTATCTTTTATTAATATTTCCTCTATAGACTAAGTTTTTCCAGTGTTATCTTCACTGATTCTTTAGTTGTTTTTTTTTTGCAGCTGTAATATATCATTGTTCAAACTTTGTTCAGTACTGAATCCTCAAATTCATATTGTGTATAAGATACAAAATAAAATTTAAAGTAGCCCCACCAACAGGTAAAATAAACAAGAAAATCAGTTTAGGCATAGTCATGCAGCTCTGCACCATGACTAACTGCACCCTGTGGCAACATATACTGTATTCATGTTTCCCTCAATCATTACTAAATAAAATATTTATTTTATATATATTAAAAAATAAGTTGCTCCTCATGCATGTCCATGACTATGTGGTACCACATAAAGTATGACAGTATGGAGCACTGAAGAGTATAACATCTCTATTATCTGTATCCACAACATTATTGATTTCCAGGCACCAAATTAGCACTCGGTCTATCTGGTAATAAGCATGTAGACACTCATTTCCAGGAGAGATGGAGTTTACACTGCGTGTAATTTGCTGTAGGCAGTTGTAAGTGAAGACTCTTAAGGCCGGTGTTATTTCCAAGGAAAGGAGACACTGTTATTGATTTGCTCCACAGTAGAAGAGCTGTGTTTGTAATTATAGTGGCAACGATGGGAAGAAAACACATTTGGGTCATGTATTTATTATATCAAAATCAAATTTGAGGAAGGTGGGAAACTTTTCTTGCTGCAAGGATCCTTAGTCAAAGAACTCAGACAATACTGATTAAACCATTAAGCAGGATGTATTTATATCCAAAAGATAAGATGCTTTCGTCCCCATGTAATGATCCAGTAACTGTGAGAATATATCAGTGTTTTGTGTGCCAACTATGGTGTATACCTCTGAAGATTCATAAATTCCATCACGTGAAAAACAGGTAAGCAATCAAAGCATTGCATAAAATATTCAAGTGGCAATTATCTGTTGGCACATACAGCGGGGATGTAGCTGACAGTTGAAGATAACTACATAGGTTTAGCAGAACATCAGGAAGGCTTTTGTCTTAAAGATAAAAAAAAATATGAATACAAATGGCGTATCTTCGTGACGATGACGACTCATGAGTTACTGTGAGCACAATCATTTTATGTTTTGTGTTTTTGCACACATAAGTGTGACCAAAAGTACTTTGCATTCATGCCTAGATGCATGTGTGCACGATGCTTCCACTCCAGAGAGATTGGTGTCACGAGATTGCAGGGGTCAAGTTTGTCCATTCAGATGGTGACAAAAGAACGTTCCCTCATGGGCAGCTTCAGTGAGACTTTAAAAAGGGCACTGTGTATTAGGGAATTGTTTTGCAGCTGACCCGTGGCAGCTGGAAGTCACGGTGACCTGACAGAGCTGTGTTCCTTGACGTTGGAGTGACGTAGTGAGGTCAAACGGTTGGTTTAGAGTCATGACCTTGAGAGTTGAGGGAAATGCCTCACTCTTCAGATGTTAGATTGAGGCAATAAATAATAAAGGATACATGCCAAATGTGTGGACATACTGTACAAAGACAAACATGTGCTCATATCCATCCTCAACACTGTACACGGACCGTCTACACTTAAACCTTACAGTAGAGTAGAGTCAGAAGTTTGTCTTTGTTCCATCTTTCCCTCCCTGCTCACATTAGCCGCCAGCCTCCCCTGCTGAGACCAGACAGGGCTTCTGTTCTGCTTTCCTCAACACCCTCCTCTCCCCAAACTTTTCTTATATCCTCCCTGTGGTAGTAATAAGCCCATTACCTCACTGGCCTGTCTCAGTACGTACAATGCACTCACTCGCAACCATGTCAGCCCAGGATGACAGGAGTCGTGCTGTGCAGTAAAGCCCGATCTGTTCTGTATTTGTGGCACCAAGCTGTGCTATAACAGACTCAGTCTTCCCTCACAGGCACCTCGCCGGTCCCTTTAAGAACCGCAGCACCCAGCATCCTCTACTGCATGCTGGCACTGTGTGATGTCACAGCTAGGCTCCTTGCTGGGTCTGCTCTCTGTCATCTCCTCTCCTTTCCGTCTTTATCGTTTGCTGTTTTTCTCACAATGGATCTATCTTGTCTGTTTCATAGTTCTCATTTCACCTTAGATCCCCTCTTTCCTACAAAACACTCATGGCCCAAGAATCTAAACAGGAGTGAACAGTAAGCCAGGTTGTCCTCCCCCAGTTTCTGTTAACGCATGTCCTGCTGGGGAGCTTTCATAATAATTGCCTGCTTATTAATCTGTAGGTTATAACTTGTGCTGTTGTATGAATCTGACTGTCCCTATGTGGCAGTGTATTCTGGCTGTGGATGTGATTTGTCTCTATTATTTTCTTGAATGGAAAAATGAAGGCAGTGCAACTTTGTCTGTCTGTTGAATGCACCGCAGGCAACCTTAGCATCACCAGTGGCAGCATGTGGAAGATGTTGTCCACATTCTGCACAGTGTTTGTCTAGTTGAGCTTTGTGATGTTATATTATGTGTTGAGAAATTGCTATGTGTGTAAGGTATCTTGAGGGTGCACCATATGTATGTATGCGTCTACCATCTCATTAACTTAGCCACAGAGATAAAATACATTTTCATCCAGCCATAAATCCTCCATTTTTAGAGGGCATTTAGCAAAGCTCTCCCAAATCCTGAAGGCTAAATTCTTGGCTGCCAAGATGAAATCTCTATTGTGGCCTTCCTCTCAGTGCCAGGGACGGAATCCGGCTTCCTGTAGATAGCCTCTCATTCATCACCTGCTCTGAATAGCACGCCACGTCCGAAGATGGGGCCGTGGATAGAGCAGGCACTGGGCATAGAGGCTGTGGATCTCCGCTTCTCTGGCAGGCCAGGTAGGGTGCCGTCAAGCACAATGTTCAGGGGATTAGCTTCAAAGCAGGGAGGCGAATGGGCCCTGGGCCCCCGTTGTCTTTTCGGGGCTGCGGCTGGGGCTGCACTGCAGGATGGTGCGGGGGTCACTGGTCTCCCCCCACCATGGGGGAGTGGGAACGGAACAGAGCCTGGGAAAAGCTCGGTAGCTTGGGGCTGGGAGCTCCACTAGCAAGGCTCACGTCTCAGCAGGCGACTCTGGGATACAGACTTGCTTTAGCTGACAGGATGATGAAGCCCTGAAAAATTGGAGCTTTGTCTCCCATTAGAAGTGTTTTATTTTCCTCTGCTGTATTATGTGTAGCTGGTTGCAACTGCAGTTAGATGGAAGTCTACCCTATGTTTATACTATAACCATGCCTTGCTGATTTGGTGCGTACAGGTATTTGATATACTCTGAGATATCCTTCATCAGGATAGCCTGATAATTACTGCCCAAACATAATCCCATTAATTATGAAAACACTGAAAGTTCTATTTATTTATATACAGAATTAATGGATGGGTAATTAATTAGATGAATTCTGAGAATATAAAAATGAGTAAAAGCAGCATGAAGAATCGTTATTTTTAGCATCTTCTCAGTTCTCCTCGAAGTGTCCTCGCCTCTTTCTCCAGTTTTTTTGGGTTTATAATGATTATTATAATCATCGCTAAGCGGCTTTTCACATGCTGTCAGGATCATAGCATGGGTCTTTGGGTGGTTTCTGCAGCCAGATGGCTAACCGCTACCAGTTTGCATGCGTAGCCCAAACTAACTGCTTTTTTATATGCCGAGTGCAGACAAGGGTGAGGGGGACAGACTTGAAGAGAGAGAGAGGTGGTACATTGAGGGCTGGTCTGTACAATTGTCAGAAGATATGGGAGGGCGGGGGAGCAAGCCAGATGTAAACACATCAGATCATGTCATGCTCTGACAATGTGAGGAAGCAGAGAAACTTTTTTTGCTTTTTTTTTCCACCAACCTTCCGACCAGTTTCGCCAAATTGGTTGGGCACATGGCTGTTCTGGGTGGAGGCAAGGGGAGTAAAGAATAGGATGAAGATAGGGTGGATGGATAGGTAGATGGACAAGTTGTCATGACGACAGGGTTGTTCTGAGTGTGTGTTGGCTGATGAAGTCTCTCTTTGCCTGCCTGTCCAATCAGATGGCTGAGCAGCGCATGCAGCACGAGCAGGAGAGGACGCGGCTACAGCAGCAGCACAACGCGGACAAGGACAACCTGGTCCAGGAGCGTCAGCGGGAGGTGAGCAGCTTGGAGAGGCAGGCCAGGGCCACCCTGCAACAGCACCAGCAGCACACCCAGGAATGGAGGAAGCGTGATGCACAGGTAGGGGGTCTCCACTGATCCACATTCGCGCATACACATGCTGACCCACCATTCAACCATTTTGTATTTTGCCAGCTGATGCTTTCTGGGGTTTCAAAAGCACAGCGGGTTAAGACACTTTTTTACTTGAAGCAAGACAGATATTGACATTGGGTTTGAATAATTTTACAACTTGGTGTGAGCGAATGTAAGAACTTAGGTAATCCTCTTTCAATTAAAAAAAATTTGTTTATGTAAAAACAACAGACCGCTAGAAAACGTAAAAGCAAAAAAGTGAACAAAACAAAAGAAATTACACTGTTCCAATTTCTAACATTATTCTGATGTTTATTAAATTATTTTTAATCACAGCAGGGTTTTGTTATAGAAGTGTAAAGACTTAAAATCCAGAAACCACCGGTAGCCAGACGAAGGAGAAGAAATCTGTTTTGTTGAGCACCAAGCTTTTGTTCCCAAACCTGGCTTAAATTTCTTTTTTGCCTTCGCACTGAATGGTGGTGGACCACCACCAAGTGCCCTGTACTCCCTCCGAAGTGTATCTCTGCGTGGCAATCTCATTTCGCTGCAGGTATCCATCTCCCTCTGGAAAATCTTTGTTATTGGCTTATTACAGCATGGACAGCCACAGTGAGTGTGACATTTGGGTCTAAATTATCCATTACACCAAGAGGCTGTTTTGTTAACATTTAGCCAAACCAGCAAAAGGTCTTCATCTCGTACCCCTCGCTCTGTCTTCGCCTCTCTCCAGCCTGGGTCAGCTTGGAGCTCTGTGGGAAGCCATTTGACAGACTTGTCCCCGACTGGGGATGTGTTTGACTCTGCAGGCTTCCTGCTTAAATGCATGCTGTCAGCATGTGGAGAACTTTGTCTTTTGGCCATTAGCTGGAGAAAGTGATCCCGCCAGACGTATTTAGTGTTTTTGGACAAAATGTGCTCAATCCAAATGTCACACGTGGTGACAGGCACAAAATGAATGGCAAAAAAAACTTAACATAAATGATTTTATAATTTAACTTTCTTGAGGTATTTAAGAGATCCTTTACATATAATTAACCTTTTTTTGGGGGGGAAGGTATTGATTTTTACAGTTGCAGGTGAAATAACAATAATTGAAGACTTGAGAGAAATTGTCCAACTGTAATCATTTTGTCTTCTGTGTTTAACTCTTTGTAGATGTTTACATATTTGATGTTAACAGTGAAAGTAAACAGAGTTCTGAGTAATTTTCAAAATGACCCTAACATCAGCTCAGATGTCAGAATGTTCTCTCTGTGAGGCAGTTAATTTGTAGACGCTCTTATACCGCCATACTAATATACAAATATAGCTTGTGTAAAAACAATCTAAATTGTCTTCTAAAAGCTACAAAACTGTATAGCGTGAAGGGAAAGTGCTGTGCTTCCTTTTTATTCCTTCTCTGATGCTCCCATGTCTTATATTTTTGGGAAATGTAACAGCTCCAGTGGCTCCAGCCAATGTGTTATTTAGTTTTATGGAGATGCCGTCATGACAGGACATTTCTACTGATAATGTGTCATGCTACTCATGTCAAAATGACATGTAGTTTGACAAATCTCAGGAGACAGAAAGCTAACTTCCTCAGTACTCATCTCATATGTTCCATTCCTGC